AACGACGTGGAAATTAAGGCCCAGAGTAGGAAGGGATGTTTCATTAAAAGTTTTCTTCCCACATTCTACGTTAGCCTAAGCAGGTCAGTTTTAGAGACTAATACTTTCCTCTAGGATTCCTTAGACCTGGGTGTACAGGTCATCATTGATACCAGGCCAGCAGTCCTGACTCTACCTGGAGATGACCCAGGGCTTTAGAACAGTTAAGAAGAACTATTTCACCTCCGGGGCTCTCCTGAAGCTTGGACCTTGCCTCCAGCATTGTTTTGGGTGACGAGAGCACTGAGTTCCACAGCACTCAAATTTCCCTGGACAATTCCCTGTAATGAAGGACCCACCCATCCTCTGTCTGCTCCTCTCCTCCTTCCTAGACAGAATCCTAGCAACCGGGTTATGCACATTAATTTTGTTTGGAGAGGGTAAGATTTTCCCTCCTTTTAGCTGGGTGATTGAGCCTTTGTGAGCTCACAGATCTAATCTTGAGATGCAGGTGGGTTAAATGTAGTTCCTGAGACATGATAGGAAATCGTGTTTTGCAGAGTTTGGGTTAGAGAGAGTGATTGCACCGTTTTCTCAGTCAGAGGCCTCATTTGAGGGCAGACGAGTGTTTCTCCCACACAGATGGGCTCCTCTAGCTCTGGAACAGCCCATGGGTGACTCTCTCTGAGGTAAACACACAAGACAGCAGAGAGAAGCTGGGGAGCCTGCATCCGCCTCCACTCTGCACTCCTTTTCCCTGAGGCCATATATTCCTGGCCATTTCAGACGCAGGGTTTATGAATGAGTATGGTCATGCAGGAGTTCAGGATAGCAGTTTTCTGACTTCAGTTAAGCTACCAACTTTCTCTGCAGCCTTTGGAAAGCTATGTCTTCTTTCAGGGTCTGTTTCTCCATCTGAGAAAAAACAATGTTTAAGAATTGATGTCTGTACCATCTCTACCATCTCCTTTTAAGAGCAAGTCCTCAGGACCATGAAGGAGGATTCAATCTAATGGACACATGTGTCAAATGTCTACAGTGTGTTAGGAACTGGGCAAAGTGCTGGAAAGTTGTTGGTGAACCAGAATACGTTTTGCCTTCTTAAAATTTGAGGTTGAATGGGGAAGTGAGACCACCAGTAATTGACACTTAGTGACTCCTGTGGAGGGACAGCATGGCCTTCTGTGGTGGTATAGAGCAAGACGATATAACCTGGATAGCATGGAAAACCTAATTTGGAGTCAAACAATTTATTTTCAGGATCAGAGAAAGTTCTTTCTTTAGAAGCAGACATTTCTGCATGATTTGGAGGACAGAGTACAGCCTGAATCCTCAAGTCAGGGCATGGGGCCCTGCATCCCTATAGACTTACTGGACTGAAAGCATTTGGTGGGGAGGCCCTGCATCTAGAGGGGCTGGATCAGTATAAGTTTCCCAGAATACCTAATTCTATATCAGTTTGATAATTGGATTAACATCCATCAGCTCCAGGAGAGCAGGGGCTAAGTCTTTGCATTCTAGTGCAGCGGGGTGTGGTGCCTGAGTCTAGCACAGTGTCTGGCTAGACAGGGTTCAAACTTAACAAGTGCTGCTGAAATAAATGTGGTTGAGAGGAGATGGACAGGAGTCAGATCACAGAGCATTACAAAACAGGCTAAGCCCATTGCAACTTCATCCAGCAGGCAAAGGAGAATGCTTTCGAGGAGGCTAGTAAGTACCATCGGAGTAGCACTTTAGAAAGAAACTTTTCTAAACCTTCTGCCCATGGATGCTTCTTTCTTTCTTTTTTTTAAGATTTATTTATTTATTTATACAAGCACAGGATATAGTCAGAAGTGCGGGAGGGTGAGAGAATTCATCAGAGCAGGAAGCAGAACAGGCAGACTGATGAAGTACGCTGCCGAGGGGAGCAGTGGGTGCAGCAGGAGAGATCTGCGCACCATGTGGGACCCTCGCTGGTGGCCAGGGATCGAACTGGCACTGCAGAGGCTGTGGGCAGCTTTGCAGCCCAGCACTCAACTGCTGCGCCACCAGGTAGGCCCTAGATTCTTCTTTTTTTTAGCCAAACTCTGAGCTCCCTGATGGCTCTTTTCTCATGCTTTCTTGTGTCCAGCACAGTTCCATGCTCAGAGAAAGTGCTCAGGGCACATTTGTAGCATGAATAAATGGATGAATGAGCAAAGGGATAACAATGGCTGGGCAGAGAATGTTGTGTCCAACACAGCTTGGAACCAGTTGGCCTGATTTTCAAAATTTCCATTATATATTTATTAGACGTGTGGCACTGAGCATAACACTCAATGATTTTTCCTCTTATTTTATCTCTGAACTGTAGACATTGGTGAGTGGCATCTCGTGAGTGCTTGATAAATATCAGCCACTGCTATTTGTATCCTTTCTTTCACAGGGGAAGGATACATGATTTTCTAGGAAAGCTATAAAGGAGAATCCCTGCGCCCCCTCCCTCATTCTTGGCATAGTTTGTAGCAAAGTCCTGAAAACCTGAGCTGCCAGAGCCCATGGAAATCACCCAATGCAACCCCTTCATTGCAGAGATGAAAGGATCGAGCCCTAGAGAGTGGAAGTGCCTGATCCCAGGTCCTGCAGCAAGTCAGAGGCAGAACTGGGACTTGTGCCCAGTTCTCTGGTTCATTACTCTTCATTCATGTCTGGACAGTGCAGTTATCAATGAAATGGACCTTATGATTTTCAGTCTTCTAGAAATGGAGTGGAGCTATAGGTCCTTAGACATTCTCAAGGTCAAATAAAATTTTCTTTTGTGTAGCACATGGCCTTGCCCACTACATTCCTTTTGCCCAAAAGTTGTTGTGATAGGTGTTTTTGTTTTCTTGGGAGGGAGATGAGTAGTCAGAAGAAGTGAAATTGGTGAAAATAAAGACAAGGTTCACATCAGAGACTACTCTTCCTATAGCCGTATTGTCTTAATAAACTAAAACTCCAAGGCACCTCACCCCAGTCTATGAATGGACCCAGAGACTGTAATAGACTATAAGTAAGCTGAGTAAGAAGAGCAGAGCAGGTAAAAGAAGATAGTCACCACCGAGTCACATAGAACTCGGGTCAGCGCGTGCTCAGAGACCCTCTCACTCAACTTTCCTCTTTGGCACAGAGATGGGGCAAAATGGGCTCAGATCACACATTGTCGGTGCAAAGATAAAAATTAGCTGGACCTGGGCTTGGATCAAATATAGAAGGTGACCGAAAAATGAGGTCAAGGGTGATATGTACACAGATGAGGCTGTTCTCCTCTGGCAAGTGGAGAGTCCCAAGTTCAGTTTTAGATGTGTTGAACCTCTGAGGTACTTGGAACATTCAAGTAAAGATGTGGCAAGACCATTGGTGATGAGGACCAAAACCAAGGTGGGAAATGTGGCTGAGCCACACAGAGAGTTGTCAGTTGAAGGGTGAAACGATGCACGTGGACAGATCGTCTGGATAAAGTCAGTTGACTGAGAGAAGTGGACTTGAGACTGAGCCTCAAGCAACTCTGGCTCAACTGATTTCCAGATAAATGACCCCGTGCCTGCAAAAGCTACTAAGCGAGTGCAACATGATGGGGCAAGAGTGAGGCGTGAGGGGAGAGCATTGGGCAGACAGGGAAAGGGACCTTCAGGGAGTTTCAGAGAGTGGTCCATGGTTCATTCAAGAGTTGCTCAGACTCACTCTGTGGTAAATGGCAGATCCAGGTCTGTGATTCCAAAAGCCATTCTCCTTCCAACATGCTGTGCTGCGACCCAGCTGTGAGACAGACTGGATGGTAAAATGTCCTTGATTGCAAGCAGACTGTCCTCTCCCTCCCTGACTCTCTGTCTCCCTAGACCCCAAATGCCCTCAGAAAATACTGAGGTTTAACGGAAGGAAGGTCAACCAGAACTTGAAACTCACTCTGAGAACACTAAGGCCCCTTTCTGCCAAACTTTCTCCCCACCCCCCTTCCCCAGGGAAAGGAGTCCAACAAAACTTCAATTCACTTGTAATTGCTCCACTCCCAGAATTAGAAGGATTCTTTTTGTTGTTGGTCTCCTTCTAACACCCTCAACTGATGCTTTTACAAAACTGTTATTTTAGGGCTGTTTGGACTTGTTTTCTACATAGCTCTTGTTTTCTATTATTTCTCCCTTTTTCCAGGGTTCAGACTAATTAAAGGAAGTGTAAATCACACCTCGTTTGCACAAAATACCTTTCATGAGGTCTGGAAGCAATTTAGCTTCTGTTTGCCAAAGATCTTTAGGAAAGAAAAAAAAATTCCCCTTAGTTTAAAAAAGATTAATTTCTTGGTGCCAAAAAAACCCATTAAGTGCACCTCCCATTTCTGGGATCTTTTATGGTTTTCATGTGAAAATGGCAGCCAGGGAGAAAAGAGAGGGAAGACCAGGCTGGCTCTGCAATGACGTCTGGCCATCCCTGTGCCACCAGCTTTGCTGTGCGGCAGCCCAGAGAAGTTTCAGAGCAAAGCCTGGCCTCGCGGGCATCCAGGATGAATACAGGACCCACCCCTGGCTGTTTCCTGCTTCCCTTCCCCTGGCCCAAACGCCTTGTTTCTCCTTGATCTGGAATGATGCTTATCAGCAAGACTCCAGAGAAGAGGACAGAATGAATCATCCCTTTTGGCTGCCTTTTAAAGAGGGGTCTTTAAAGACCTCCCCACTTTAGTCCCTCTGGCCCCCTCTCCCCACTCTCCTCTGCCTCTTTTGCCCTGTCTGTTCACCTTCGCTGAGAAATGAAACAAGTCCCTGCATTTCCTCTGAGGTACTAATGTCCCAGAATGTGGAACCTCAGAGGGCTCCCAGTTGCCTACTGAGGTCCTCACCTTACAGATGGGGGCACTTGGGGGAGGCATCACACCTGTGGACGCACACCTGTGGTCCAGCTGAGCTCAGGTGAGTTAGCTCCACAGCAAGACTTCATCCCCAGCACCCTTTCCACTCCTCCTTAACATGGGACTCTCTGACAGTGAGGTTTCCGACAGCAAGAAGGTGAGGGAGCAGGCTGCTCCCGAATCACGCCTCAAGGATGCTCACATCGATTGCTGCTCATAAAATCTGTCATGGGAAGAGAGAAACGAGTGAGGGCGACAATGGATGAGAGGTGGTAGATGGCCATTGGGAGAGGGGAACTTTTGGGACAGGTAGATTCTGCACTTAGCTCCTTCCATTTTTACCCTGGTGACAATGGTCAAGTCACTTCATCTTTGGGGGAATTCTTACTGCTTCTATCAAGCAGGGGTGATAGTACCTGTCTCCTAGGATAGTTGGGACAATTGGAGGAGCTCGCGGGTAGAGCAGAGTAAGGGGGCAGGAAATGAGGCCTTGGTTTTTCCAGGTGCCTTCCTTCTTGAACGTGAATCAAAGCCTGTGTCTGTGGCCACTTCTTGGCCTCTCCTTCTTCCAAGTGTGGAATTTACTTCCTAAGGAAATAAGTAAATAATAATACAAAGATATTTGGAACTTGTTAAAGCATGAAATTTCCAGTCTGCTTTTCTGCTGATCCGAACCTTCTGTAATTCTTCGGAAGGGAGAAAGCGCTGTGGACAAAAATAACTTGATCCAAGGATGTATTACATACTATATTTCCTCAGTCAGTGTTTTTTCCATTTGAAAAATCCCACTTAATGTTGGTGGGAGGTAGGATGAGGGGAAGAAAAAGCAATGGTTTTTCAAGATCAGCGTGATAGAGAAGGCTTTGGATTCAAATCTTAATTCTGCTCCTTCCTATTTACATGATCATAGACAATTGTCTTCTGTTTTTCTGATTTGCTAATTTTAAAATAAAAATCATAAAAAGTATATCTGGAGAATTAACAATGTCCTCATGCTGTTAAATAACAGAAATGAGTGAGAGAGAGAATTCTAGAAGGATGATGTGAGCCGCTCCAGCAATGCTCATCAGAGTCAGAAGACAGGACTTTAATGGTTTAACAATGACCAGAACTTACTTTTCTGAGCCTCAATTTCCCAAAAATAGTTATTTTATCACTGTCGTCCCTGAGAGCACTGGCTCATCATCACTCTTCTGGGCTGTTGTGATATTTAATACTCTTCCCGCCTTGCTCTGTCCTTCCCCTGTTACCTGCCCTGTTAGCAGCTGATTTTTCACTTTGCAGGCAGAGGGAGAATCCTAAAACCCATTCTTTTGCTTTCTCTTTTGCTTTCAGAAGAAGGCCAAAGTATGGCTTCTAAGATTCTCCCAAGTCTCATCCCTCTTGTCTCTCCAGCCCCATCTCCCCCCTCCCCTGGCCCTGCCGGATCCCCTCGCCTCTGGCCACTGAACTGTAATTCCTCTGCTGACATGCCCTTGCTCATCCACTTCAACTTGAGACTATCCTAGGAGCTTGGCCAAGAATCCCCCCACCGCAATTACTGGATTTATAACTTAGGTTAAGTGACGTAGCCTCACTGAGCCCCACATTGTTCACCTGTAAGTTGGGGGTGCTAATGGTCCCTGCACAGGGTCAAAGGAGCCATTAAATAAGACAGCAAAGGGGCCTGACCTGCTTGGGCACCTGCACACACTAAGTACTTTTCATGGGGTCAGTCCTTCCTCTTGACATTCTCTTCACTTGCCTCCTGGACACCACCTCAGACTTGTTCTCACATAGGCCTTTGCTGGGTTTTCCCTCTCTGGACTGTGGGTTCCTTGAGAGTCCTGTGCTTCTGTGCTTGGGTTCTAGTTCACATGGAGCTCCCGCGCCCAGCATGTGCGCCACCGCAGATGAGCGCGTCGAGCTCAGCGCCTCACCTGTAACATGGGCTTCCTGACAAGCATCCTCCTCGTGAGACGGTGGTTAGGATTAAGTCGGAAAACGCACTTGAGCACACAGCTGGCACAGAGAAAGAACCCAAATGACGTGTGTTGTTGTTGTCTCTGTATCCCTAGTGCCTGGCCCCAAGCAGATTAAATGATCATTGAAAGGATGAAAGTGCTTTATAAGCAAGGGGAGTGTGGGATGAGTTTCCTGATGGTTTTCAAAGGACAGTTGGTAACAGATCTAGGGTGAGACTGGCTTTGTGTTATGATGGGATCAGGCCAGGGCACTCCTGTTCCCTAGAGCCCTGCTCTCACCCTCTTTTGTGTGAGACCTGGGAAGGGGATGAGAAGGGGAGAGTGCCCAGTATTCATGGAGGGACAGGCACGGGCACAGGCACACGGAGAACCCACACCATGTGAGCAGGCGGGGCTGTCCTTGCCAAGGTGCCCTAATCCTGTCCCGAAGCACTTCCTGCATTCCTGTCCCAGCCTGGCATTCTCTTCTGCTTTCCTGCTGTCATGCCAACTGGCAGGGTCTTCTCTTCCTACCCTGGTCCCCTCTGAAGCCTCCCTCAATCATCTTGCCTTTTCAGAATCTGTCTGGAAGTTCTTTTCTGGCTAAAATACCGTGGGCTTGGGTGGTAGACCATCCTGAGTTGGAATTCCAGCTTCCTTCCTTACCACATTTGTAATTTGGTCCAATGACTCAATACCCCTGAGCCCCAGTTTCCTTGCCTGTAAAACAGACATTAATCCCCTTTCACAAGGGTTATAGGAAACGAGGCTGGTAGCACACCCAGTAAGTGTCTGACGGGAGCACGTGCTTCCCAGGGGGCTAGTTCCCCCTCCTCCTTTCAGTGTCTGCACTTGCACCCTCACCAGGATTCCACTCTTCGCCAGCCTCCTAAACCTTGGAGGTTGTTAGCTTCCTGTAACTGGGAGAGTTTAAGGGGAGGCCAAATGGTGCCCAAATATGGTTACAGGAGTTGGGCTCATGACCTTTGGGCTCTTCCAAACTATGACTCTGCTCCTCTGTAAAAGGCTTCCCAGGTTGAGAATGTCAGTGTGGAGACCAGGGGGCTGCCTGTTCCTTCCTCCATCTCCTCCCATGTCCCCTCCCTCTGCCGTCCCCTGAACTTCTTTCCTTCCAGCACAGCCAAGGCTGCCTTTTACATGGATGACACGCCCTCCTGATGCCTTCAGCTATCCTTCAGCAGCTCACGGGGGAAACAATCCACTTGCATACCCTGCCTCCTTCAGCACACATGCTGGTCTAGATGGGGAGGCACTTGGTCAGTATTTTGAGGGGGAAATGATTAAGGAATAAGTTTAAGGGACCATTTGCCAGAGCGAGCTTCACTCCCTCCCAAGCTTTCTGACTCTCTCTCAATGCCTTTCCTGGATGCACATTATTAGGAAACTCAGAGGTGTTTTTTCAACCTCAGTTCCAAGACCAATCTTAACAAACAGAACAAATATTTATTGATTTCCTACTGTGTGTCAAGCTAGGTACTTCCTGGGGATATGCCAACTGCTTTTCTTGACTTTTCTCTACCAGTCTATAGGTTTCAGGAGCCATTGAGACCCATAGATGCCATAAATACTTTGTGCCCTACCTTCTCCCCAATCTGCTCTCTCTTCAACCCTTGGCAGGGACATGTAACTCAGCTACACCAAAGCAGTTGCATCCCCCAAAACTGCTGGCTTACCTTTTTCATCTACTCACACCCTACCATCCTAGTGACTTTCTTCCTTTTTCACATAGTTTCTAGACTGCTTGGTTCTTTTAAACAGGAAGTTTATGTTTATATGATCATTAAAAAGTTAGTTTCATTTTGAAAAACAAGCCCAGGAAAGTGATCCTCTCCATAAGAAATGCAGTAGCTGGGCTGTGGCAATTAGAGGAAAAACAGATTGTCTTCACCAAAGCGGGAGTTTAAGAGGAGGACTCGCATGGTAAGGGTAGGATTTGGGTGAGAGGAAGGAAGGAGGCGGGGATTCCAGGGGCAAGTGCAAAAACTTGAAAATTGGAGCTTGCAAGTCACACACAGGGACACAAATGTAGTTTAGCTGGAGTGGATGCTGAAGAGAATCCAGCTTGAGTGTTAGATTGACGTCAGATGAGCAATGCCTGAATTCCAGGGGGCACTTGCCTTATACCAAGCAGAAAACTGCTGAGTTTTAATGTGCAAGGAATACCACCAGTAGGCTCGGGCTAGAGATAGAAAAACAAATGCTTGATGTATTGCATTTGTTGAGTGCTGAGACCTCTGCAGATGTGTTACAAAAGGGGCAGTATACAGAAACAGGCAAGCATTTTCACATTGACCTTGACTTCTTGGAAGAAGAAAAGGCCAATCCCCTTTTCATGAGGGAACTAAGTCTGTTGTCCTTCTCTGCTTTCCTAGCAGACTAACTCCAGGCATGGGTTCACCAGCACCTTCTGCAGGGATCCTGAGCTATTTGTTCAGCTTATCTCAAATGCTGGCAGCTTTCTGTTTGCATAGTTGCAGTAAGCTCACCCTTGGGATTTAGAACACAATTGAAGTGGGGTTGGATGGAGTGGGAGGCGGAAAGGGGGCAGTGATGTGCAGCCTGGGACCTGGTGCAGGTGTTTGAGTGTGCCACTTGCCGCCTTTGGATAAGGGGTTCTCCTAGCCCGGAAGGGCCTCCTTCCTCTCCTCCCTCCATCTAACTCAGAGAGTGACGAACTAGGGCCCATGGACTGGCTGCCTGTTTTGCAAATAAAGTTTTATTGGCACACAACCACATCCTGTCATTCATGCATTTTCTATGCCTTTTTTCCACACCCCAAAGGCAACATTGGCAACAAGGGTCATATGACTGACGTGCAAAACATACTTACTATAACCCTTAGAAAAGTTGATACACTTGTTCTAACTAATCCTTCTCCATCTTTCCTCTCTGCTCATCTCACCTTTGCATGATAACAGCACTTACCTAGCCAGGTTCTTGCAAGATGCAAAGAGATAAATTGAAATGAACCCACAAAAGCAAAAACAAACAAGAAACATGATTGTTATAGTGAGTGGGAATTTAGTAATTGAATTCTGCCCCTCAGTCTTGCTTTCCCATTTAGGATTTCCTCCCATACAATTCAGGGAGTGAGGAAAAAAAAATTGCTAGTGTCAGTATATTAGGGAAAAACACTGTGTGTATTCTCCTAATTTCTCATAAATTCCTGAGACATTGTAATAAGGCTCGGAGGTATCTTGTGAGAAAGAAATTGCTATGGTCTTGTAAGCAGAAATGTTCTAAAAAGCACTTCAGACCATTTGGGCCAGGCGGTCCTTGGGTCCTCCCACAGCCCTCTAGTGCTGAGTTTACCGAAACAGCTACTGCTTATCAACCTCTTCTTTATCACCACCAGCAGAGGAATGTAATGAAAATACATGCCTTTGCATAAAATGATGCCTTTTAGTTCTGTTTCTTCTGAAAGTCAAGAAGTTGTAAATGTGTCTGTCTCCAGATCCCAGGGATCTTTGCTACAAAGGCTAGTAAGATTTCTGCATTGGGGGCCGAGCAGGTGACTTTGAATTGCAGGGCAGAGACATCAGCAGCCCTGCACCCATCTGCTCTTCCTTTCCTTCCACCAAACGAAACCCTTTTGCAAGAGTGTCTTTGACCTCCCGAGGTTCAACCCACTGTTCATCATGCACAGTTGACCCCTCCCTCTTTCTGGGACTGAACTCTTGGGTCTCTACCTTGGGTCCCTGTGGCAAGGGTGAAATTGCATCCTTGGGAAATTATTCTCCGGGGCGGGGAGGGGGGGGGGTAAGAGAGAAGGGAGCATGAAGTCATTTGTAAGTGTAAGTGTGGCTGGGTGTTGAGATTCTAACACGTTTGAATCTGAATTGGGAGTCACTGCCCATTTTACCAGCAGGGAAGGCACACACTTTACAGACCCATTTCTGAGGACCCAGACCTTAGGTGGTCAGAGGGCATCTACTCAGAGGGCACCTGGTGTGTACCCAGTGACTCAGTGCCCTCTGTAACATTTTTCGTTTGTTTGTTTGTTCTCAAAGCTGCTTGTGTTTTCCCCTTCTGAGGTTCTTACCAAAGAGCCTGGAATTCTCAGGGGTGAACTGGAAAGGGGAGTGTGCGCCTAGGAGACTTTCAGGTGCTTGGCCTCCATGGCCGACAGAGGGCGCTCCCACACCGCACAAGGCTGGGCCTGCTGGCTCCGGGCAGGCCCCTGGAGAAGGTGGCCAGCTGACCTTTCTCCAGGCTGTTCTCGGTTGCCAGAGCAGCGGAGGTGTCAGCTGAGAGCAGTCACAGCCCGGGGAGGAGCGGGGAGGGAGGGAGGCTGGGGCACCCGAAGGGGAGGAAGAACTGGCAGGGGAAACACAGACACACATTTCAGAAACAGGGACGCAGGGAAACCCGCGGCACGTTGTAGCCATAAACAACAACATGCAGCACAGCCCACGCAGACGCGGCGTCTGACCCAGGGGGGCGTTAAAAATCACGCAGAATGCAAAGGCACACCCCGCGACCACCCGTCCCGCAGACACTGCGACGCGGTCATCACGCCCAGCAGAGCAGCAACAAAGACAACACCCAGACTCACAGGCGTGGGGAAGCCCTCAGGGACCAAGCCACGTGCCATGTACAAAAGGCGGATAACAAAGACACCCATGGCACGTACACGGTGGGCCCGCGGCACGCACGGAGACAGCACCCCATGCACAACTCACACCCTCAGAGGCACCTCACAGACACGCAACAGAAGCACACGCGGCGCATAAACACAGCCGCCTCCCACAGGCAGGCTGGAAAGACACATGTGAGGGACCATATGCCGCGTCCACCCGCTCTGCACACGCGGGCTCACGTGACATGATGCCGCCCAGTCGCACAGCACACACCACACAGCGCTCGCACTCACTGGACGGGCACAGGTCCACGTGCATCAAAAGCACTTGGAATTCAGTAAATGTTTCTACAAAAGAAAAGAGAGGCCAGAAATGGGGTGAGCGGGGGGAGAGAGAGAGAGAGAGAGAGGGTTGAGAAAGAGGGAAAAGAGGACAGGGAAACAAAGGAGGGAGCGGAGCAGGCCCAGGGGAGCAGGGCTGGACACCGGATCTGGGACCAGGCTTGGCCTCTTCTCCACTCTCTAGGCCCCCAGTCACGGTCACTGTAGCAAAGAGCAGGCTGGTTTCGGGTGGCGCCCTTGGGGAGGCCACACAGACTTGGTGGCTACAGCCGAGGCAGATGGGGCCCCCGGGAGGGTGAGCCACCAGCTTGGGGCCAGAGCTTGGGCCTCGGTCTCAGCAGGGGCAGAGGCACAAAACCACAGCTTCCTCTCCCTGAGTCGCTACAGCTCCAGTGTGTGTCCAGGGAGACCTGTCCCGGCCCAGCCCATCACATTTAATCCTGATCTATGGGTTGCTTACGGTCCACAGTCTAACTTCCCCCAGGCAGCAAGTGTCGCAAAGAAACTGTTACCCAAATGCTCAGGATATATGCCATGCCCCTCCCCCCTCAGTATACTTTTTAAAAAAGAAAAGGGAAAACTTGAATGACCTTAGGAGGGCTCTTTTCCCTGCCCCCCCCCCCCCCCCATTGGAGACAGGATTGCTCAGGCTGGTAAAGGGCTCAGCAAAGCTTGCTTATTATGTAACCAAGCAAGTAAAACTCACTTCTTGGAGTCACAGGATTTTCAGTGAAATAGATTCAGATCGGCATATCTTCTCCAGCCACCATCGTGGTCCAGAACAATGCAGGAACCAGGGCAGAGAAATGACACCCACAGCCCACTTTGCAAAATATACAGTCTAATGAGGCTAGCACAACACACAGTACATTTTACAGACTGAAGTGCCAGGGGTCATGTAAATATATAGAATTTGGTTCATTTCACATTAATAAAGAGGGGGCCGGGGGGATGACCACTGCATGCACTTCGTGTACTGTGCTGGCCCCTGTCTATCCATTATCTTGGTCAGAGCTCAAAAACAAAGTGGAAAATAGGAATTAACAGCTCTGTGGTACAGCTGAAGAAACCCAGACGGAATATGTGAAGCCACCTGCCCAAGGCAGCAGGCCTAGGAAGTCCAGATTCAAACCAAGTCATCTGACTTCAAAGCCCCCTCCCTGTCTTTTCCACTCCATGGTAGCAATTAAGTGTTTCCTCTGGCCGTTCAAGTCTTGAGCAAGAGCCAGCCTAAAGGGAGAGAGACAGTCACAGCAGAGACTCTCAAGTTAGAGGTTGTGCAGGCAGGCTTTGGACTCTTCCACCAGTAAGAGGAAAGTTTAGGTCCAGAAGTTGCTGGTCATGTCCCTTGGGTCAGCGTCCTCCTTTTTCTGCTCCTGGGATCAAGTCTCGACTTTGGACAGATCCCAGAGATTGGGTGATGGCCTGAGTGTGATTCAGTCAGTCTTCAACTATAGCAACATGCAGGCTATTGTAGGGGTGGCATGTGGGTGTTAGGGATGGAGTGCTGCCTTCCTGGGTTTTTCTAGGTGTGGCCAGGTGGAGGGAAGAAGAAATGGCAGCGGTACCAGTAAGTCCCATTGTGGCTTGAGGCTGGAGAGATCAGAATTCTATCGTCCACTTTGCACATGCACACACATCTTTCTTTTCTGTACCACAAAGTGTTGGATGTGGGTGGTCAGTTAACAGCAGAGTTGGAAAGAACTTTTAGGATCATCTAGCCATTTACAGAAAGGAAAACTGAGATCCAGTAACATGCCTTAAAGTATTACTGCTGAGCTTTGATTAGTGAGCATAATAGCCAATAATAAGTACTCAACATCCTGCCAACACCATGGTAAGTGCTTTGCATGTGTTGTCTCATCAAATGTAGCAGCATCCTCAGAGGTAGGTGCTGTATTTGTCATTTTCACACATGCACAGACCAAGGCTTGGGGACAGGCAGTGCATGGCTTGGCCTGGCATGCAAGCCAGGCCTATCTGACTCCTAGCACTTACTCCCTGCTCTGATCTGTGGCCTCCGTGACCAACCTGGAGATGGACAGGAACAGTGATCCCCGACTTAGAGAGAAGAGGACTCAGGTCAGAGAAGAATAACATTATTTTTTTAAAGTCATGGAACCAGTGGTCAAGACTCAGAGGTCCTCACCTCTCATCTGCTTCCCTCCCTTCCGCCCTGGGGACCAGATGTGGCCCTATCACTTCTCTTTCTGGGTTGGTAAAGCAGTTGATGTCAGCAAAGGGTCAGCGATGGCCTCTTTGTCTAGAAAGGATCCTTCGGAACTTTGGAAAGTGGTATTGCCCCATGCCGGACTACTTCAGCACCAGGCACCCAGTTGTTAACTGTCTTCTTGTTGGCTCCTTTGGGGAGGGGAGGCCTCTACCCCTCAATGCCTCGAGTCTTACCTGGCTCAGTTTGGTCAAGCGTCTGCTCATCTTATGTGGTATTTGCTCTCTCTGTTTCAGGCCTGGTCCTATCAGAGGCAAGTACTCTGTGACAGATGTCTCTGAACCTCAGAGACCAGTCAATGGCCAGTGAATTAACCAGCCCAGAGCCTCCCACAAAGGCTATATGTATTAGGAATGGAGGCCTGGCTGATAAAGCCGGGAGACCGTAGTCTTGTTTATTCTGGTAGACTCTGTCTTGTACTCTGCAAGGGGATTATGCTGGAATTATCCAGCTGTGTCTGCTGAGATTTGGCTACAGACTCAGATTCCCAGGATGGGGAGGTCAATGGCTGTCTTTGTTCTCAAATATATTTAATTTTCTCCCTGGCTATTCTTGGTCTTCAGTCCACTTAGCATCGCCCAAACTCCTTCCATGTGGTGCGTTCACTGTGGGCTGGTCCATTGGTAGCGTCCTGGGCTGAAATTCTTAGCAGCCTGTTCCCAACAGGGAGGACACCTCAGGTTTTCCAACTACACAACAGATCTCAGATCATCCCTTTTTTACATTGTACATTTCCTAATCTCTGACCTCATTTAGGGAGGAGAAATGAAATAGCCTGGATCCCACATTTGGGCTGTTCATAGCGTCTAGCAGAGGATACTTAGACCTTGGTGACAAAGGGCCTGGCATGAAGTTTCAGCTCAATGCTTGGTAGCTGTTGAATTGCTTCTTTAAAATAGGGTAATAATAATGATGTGTAGGATCAACAGGAGATGTCACACACAGTAAAAGCTCCATGAATGTTAGCAACTACCTCTTTCATTATCATTATTAAAGGCACAGCCTCTCTGAGACTCAGTTTCCATATCTGTAACATGGAGACAGTAATTTTCACCTTGGCATTTGGCTGAGGGGGTATGAAATGAGAAAGTGCTTAGTATACACCTGGCAGGTAGTCACGGCTCACTAATCAATACTATGATCTTTATTTCCTCCCTCCCTTCCTTCCCTTCACTTTCCCTTCCCTTGATTGTCATGGTGAGATGGTTCCCACCACTATCAGAAGAGAACCACGTTTTATTCTGACTATACATGTCCTATTTAAACCACCTTGTATTGGTCTTGCTGTCTTTTGTCTTCTCTCATTCAGTCCATCTTTCACATCAAAAAATGTCATCCGAGGCCACACTGGTGTCACAAGCCTAATTTCTTAGCCTTGTCTAGTCTCAATTCCTCCTCCAGGGTCATCTCTCACTAATGCTGTTCTTTATCTCATGCTGAACCCATGTTGGATTTCTCACAAGCCCTTGAACCTTTCATGTGCATTCATGACTCTGGATCTTTACCTCAGGAGATTTTTCTATCTTTCCTATTCCACCCCATACCGGGCTTATTCAGGATGATCTGATCACTTATTTTATGGACTCTAGAAAAGTGAGAAACATTATAGACTCTTCATCGACTGCTTATCTTACTGCCATCACTGGCTGCAGTTTGGAGGGTGGGCTGGAAGGGTAAGATGGGGCAGGAAGTTAAGAAACGAAGGCTGGGGGTCTCCCTGATGGTGCAAGGGGTTAAGACACAATCTATGAAGCTGTCCGCAGCCACTGCAGCATGAATTTGATCCCTGGCCAGGGAGCTACCCACATGGTACAGCAGACCTCTCCTGACTCTCCTGCTGCTCCCCTCAGCAGTGTATTTCAGTCAATCTGCCTGTTCTGTTCCCCACTCTGTTTCTGGTGAATCCTCTTACCCCCGACCCCATACCTCTGGCCTATACCCCAGTTCTTGTATGCATAAATAAATCTTTAAAAAAAATGAAGGCTAAGTGGAAGGTGATGGGATAGGGAGTGTAGAGAAGGAAAGTCAAGAGGTGTAAGTGATAGCTACCACACAACTTGGTGGCTGTTTGATTTGGGAGATTATGAGAGTAGAGTGTCC